CAGACTTAACTGATTTGGGTCAAACTAGTTTATGCAATGTCTGCCCCAGACCCCTTGCTGGTTTAAGTAAAATCAGATTCCCACAGCATCCAGGCATGCTCTCCGGGCTGGGCGGGGCTCTCTGCTCCACAGCAGGGCCGGCTCCTCCCCCCTGCTCCGTGGCTGCAGCTCCAGCAGATACTGGATGCATCTGTCTGGCTTCTTTTCCCCTCCTGCCTCCCCTCTAAGCAGGGAGTCCACCATTTCCTCTGCCTTACACAGACGCACAGCATTAGCTAAAAGACCATGTGCTGGCTATGGTCCATGCTGTGGCAGACAGGATAAAGGCAGAATCAACAGGTGGTTGCTAGTAATGTCCCTCTGTTTTCTTAATGCAGTGATAAACACTGTTATCATTTCCTTGCTGGGCTGCTTGGGGGGGGGAACCCCTCCCTAATTGTAGTGTCTTGCTGGGGCCTGGCCACGTCCCCCCCTCAACTCAGCATTGTGGAAGGGAAGGGAGGGCTGCTCTAGCATCCCCTGGCTTCTAGCCTGAGCCACTGCAAGCATGTGTCTGCATTTTCTCAGTCCAGAGGGAATGTCTGTATGTCCGTGCAGGTACAAACTGGTTTAGCCTAGCCAGGTTAGACTTACCTGCAAAAATTGAATCAATTCAGACTCATGCATTTTGAATGTCTGTCCCCAACCATAAGGTTTGTCCTCCAGGCCCTTTATCATTTTTGTGGCCTTTCTCTGGACCCTTCCAAGATTCTCTACATCTTTTTTGAAGTCTGTTGCTCAGCTGGGGTCTCACCAGCGCTGAGTAGAGAAGAAGTATCACTTCCTTAGCCCTGCTTGTGACGCATTGGCTAATGCATCTGTGTGCTATTAGCTCTATTGACTGCAGTGTTACTGTGAGGTTTGGGGCCTCACGTGTTGTATGGCCTGTTGGGTGAGTAGCCCTGCCCCATGACTCTCCTGCCACGACTTTGATGTTGCTTAACAGAGAGAAGGAGTTCAGTGTAGATCTTCCTGGGAGGGCCTTCTGACAATAGCAGTACTCATGGTTTTCCAGTGCAATGTTCCATGGGGCTCCTCCTTCCCTACACCCAGACCACTCGCCAACTGGATGTGATGTCTGTTGAGTAGGGATTCTGGCCACTGTGGGGTGGCCCGCAGATTGCCTCAGGTGGTGTCCCCCCATTGGCATGGGTGTCAATGGCTCTCCCCACTCTGGCTACTCCATATGGGCCTTCTTCTCTGGGGCTCTTTGATTCCCCTTTTCTCTTTTTTTTTTTGTTTTTGGTTTTTTGTTTTTTTTGTTTTCAAAAGAAATATTCCCTTGGGGAGGAGCAAGCCGTGGGGCTGCCTCCTTGACCCCAGCCTCCTCCAGGGGGTTCGAATGCCTCCTCTGCTCTGCTCCCTCTAGGGAGCTCAAGGGCTTCCCTTGACATAATTGCTATGGGGAGATGGGATGCCTTCCTGGTTCCGCCTCCCGCAGGGGTTCAAAGTTTTCCCCTATCTGGGGGGTGGGAGCCACACCAGCTGTGCCGCGCCTCTCCCATGCTGGAGTCTCAGCAGCCCTGGCGTGCTGCGCACCAGCGTCTCTTCCCTCTGGCTCCGCCTCCACCCTGGTTCCGGCAGGGCTTTTCAACTTTTCCATGGCGTCCAGTATGGCTGCCGTGATTGGCCCAGCTGTTCCCCGGGCCAGAAACAGCTGATTAAACAGCCGGTGTAATGCTGGCTCATGCAGTCCCGGCTTCTGCTCTGGCTCCCCGGTCGAGGGTAAGTTACCCTCGCCAGGGGTCTGTCCCCAGGGTTTGGGGCCCATGGGGTTTCCTCTCTCGCTTTCGGGAGCTGGTAGCGGCGTCTCGCTGCCACAGTTACACTGGTGGCTCATGTTCATTCTGTGATCAACCATAACCCCAAGGTTCCTTTCAGCCATCGTGCTGGCCAGGACATCTCCTCCTAACATATTCATGTCACTGGTTACTTCTCTCCAGATGAAGTACTCTGCATTTATCCTTATTGAATTGTATTTGGTTCCGCTCCGTCCACCTTTCCAGTTTGTCCAGGTCCACTTGAATCCACATCCTATCACCTAGCATGACTGCTTTTCCTCATAACTTAGTACTGTCTGCAAACTTGGCCAGTGTGCTTTCCACATCCTCATCTAAATCCTTGATAAAGATGTTGAACAGCGTGGGGCCAAGAAGTGAACCGTATAGAACACCACTGGCCACTTCTCTCCAAGACGATATGGACCCGTCCACTAACACTCTCTGGGTTTGACCCCTTAGCCAGTTCCCAACCCATGTAAGCATGGACTCTGGCAGTCCACAATCCCCCAATTATTTTATAACAGAGTCATGGAAAACTGTATCAAAGGCTGTTTTAAAATCCACGTACAGTCAAATCTCTGTTATCTGGCATCCCCTGAGTAAAGGGATTGCTGGTTATGTAAAAATTCTGGGTATCTGAACCCAGTAGGGGTTTTCAGATTATGTGAGGGAGGCGGGTGGGAGGAGGTGGCGGCTGCATGTGGAGCAGGGTGAGAGGGGGGGTGGTGACTGCACATAAAACAGCAGCAACACAGGGTGGTGGGTAGTGGGTAGCAGAAAAGAATGGATCTTTTCTGCACTTTGAGGACTGCTCCTTTGAGGAACAACCACCCTTCCACTATTTTCCTAAGTTCATTGAAGTCAGTCTTTCTGAAGTCAAGTATCTTGCCCTGGCAGAGGGTCAGACTTGAAGATCTATAAGGTCCCTTACGACCCTACTTCTATGATTCTATGATCTTTGCCCTACTGGCTGACTTTCCTGACCTATGACTGATAGTGAATTCTGTCATCTTATGTTCACTATCTCTCAGATTACCCTCAATCCTCAGATCTCCCAGGATGTTCAGTTATAATGTTGTGTACAAAGGGATGGAATGCTGTGGAAGAATGATACATTTGTGTACTGGAATTTCTATCTGCACTGTCCAGTAATCACTAGAGCTTCCATTTTATGTCTGACTGTTTTTGCTACAAGCAGCTTTAGAAGGTGTTATCTCCAAATGCAACTGTAAAAACTAACCATATTTATTTAGGGATAATAATATGACATAACCATTCTTTCTAGTCTGTGTAGACAGAATGTTTTAAAAGCATCAAACTAAGGAAGCTCTCTCCTATTAAAAGCTTATGCCTCACTGAATGAATCAGTCTCCAAGGTGTTACCCTGACCCACCTTCTGATAGGGTTGAGACTAACATGGCTAACTACCTCTTACATGGTTCTTAATAGTAATGATAGTGGTATTCTTGCGCTGCCATTGTATGTTATAATATGGTTTAGCCGTAACCTCTTTTTTGTATTTCTGTCTTCAGAAAATCATATATAAAGATGGCAAAATCTGCTTTATGGCAGTGCAATGTTTCCTATGTTGCTTGGCAGATATGATTATGAAAGTGTTTACCAGATGAGGAAAGATGTACTCCATGTTAAAATCCTATATGAAAAATTTTAGATGGCACAGAGTTTTTTTTCAGTGCTTGTCTGAATTTTAGGGTGAAAAGCCAAAATACCAGAACCTCCAGAAGCACAGAATTAAGGTTGCATTTCTTAAAAAAATACTAAATGAACACTAATGCTTTTATTTTCTATGGAATTTCATGCACCTAATTCCATATTGGACAGAGAAAGTGAAACATTTCAGAAGATGGTGAGGTTTTAAAGTTATATTTTTAGGAATCGTAGGAATATATGGTCTGGTGCATTAAAAGTTACAAATTATAATGACTTTTAATAGCATCTGGGTATAAGTTTTTTTTATTGGGTCTAAGTTATATTACTGTGTTGTTAGAAATGGTTAGTTGTAAAAAATCTGTTTACTGAAGAGAGGAAGGGAAATTCCAAATTGTTTCACTATATAGCAGTGTGAAAAAACTAGTTTGGCATGCCAGTTAGACTACAGTGTGTAAAGACAGTGAAGTCCCCCCTATAAAAATGTGAATATGTTTGCAGTTAGATTTATACAAGGTTTTCCATCAGTGGATCTCAAAGCACCTTAATAATATTTAATAAATGTAAATTTATTTCTAGATATCATATAATTCATATGTAGATAATTATTAATTGGAAGTCCCCTACCAGGGTAAATGAGTAATTTGTTTCTCTTTATTTGCTGCAGGGCACCGAGGCCTGTTTGACCACACTTTACATGGTATATGTTCCAGAGTAACTGAGAGGAAACTACAAGGAACTTGTCCACCCATCGCTCGTGGAAATTTTGGCAAACCATTCTTGGGTGCCAACAGTTATAGTTCTCCATTTTTTAATCCCCGTAATGATTTTCACACAATCCATTCAGAGAACAGCCCAGTGAAGCCCAGGATTGTGACAGTGGTGAAACCATGTGGACACACACTCAGGAAGATCACATTGCTTCTAAACAGGCGATCAGTCCAAACTTTTGAGCAGCTGGTGGCTGACATATCGGAAGCTCTGGGATTTCCACGTTGGAAGAATGATCGTGTAAGAAAACTTTACAATCTGAAAGGAAGAGAAGTAAGAAGTGTCTCTGATTTCTTCAGAGAAGGGGATGCATTTATAGCTATGGGAAGGGAACAGCTAACTTTGAAGAACTTGGGAGTGGTAATACAAGAACTTTATCCTGATAGCCCATATGCTCTCAGCATCATTCAGCAAAACTGGGAGCAATCCCAAAAGCTTAAGAACAGGCTACTTGACAAGTCTTTGAAAGTGGAAAAAGGCTTTGAGACAGAGATTGCCAAGAACTGCTGCGATGCCATACCTTCCCAAGCAGTTGCCAGACATGAAGGAAAAGCTCAAACTAAGACCAAGCAAGAGGAAAAAGTTAAGGCCAAAAAAAAGTGGTGCAGAGAAAGTTGGGGTAGAGACCAAGATGTGAAGGCTTCTAGAAAAGCCAAAGAAGGAGAAAGGTACTTTAACCAAGAGAAAAGTCCTGAGAACAAAATGGAAAAGATTTCAGATGAAATAATCAAATGTGAGAAGTGTGAAAGAGAGAGACAGCTCAGGCAAAAACTACAAAGGGAAAGACAGGCTGATGTCTCTTTTGAGAGCAGAGACCTTAACATGGGAACATGTCAGAGATATAATTTAGAACGGAATGTAAAAATTAGGAATTTCAGGAAGTCTTCAGAAAACTCTATGGAAGATGATGAAGCTGGATGGACAGATAATGGCTGTAGAAGAAGCTGGAAGCCTGTGAATCATAGGAACATTAATGATGAGCTAGAAAAACAAAAGAGGGGTATAGAGAAAGAAAGAGATTTAGAAAGGCATGAAAATCAGGACAAAGAATTAGTAAAAATAAAGAAAATCCCTGTAGAAGCTATTCCGGTGACTCAAGAAGCAAAGAAGGAGAATGGAAGTAGTTCTGCAATTAGTCAAAGTGGTAGGGTAACAAAAGACTGTCAGGGAGACTCAGATAAACCAGTAAAAATGCCTGGGAAGAACAAAGATGGTTGGAAGCCAAAAGAGGAAGGTGCTGGCGTGGAAAACATTATAACACGTGAAGAGGGGGAACTGAAAAGAGCAGAAAAGGTGGGAGAACATAGAGCCAACAAAGAAGAAAAAAAACCACAAGAATTTGAAAGCAGAGGTCTGAGACATATTGTCAAAGGGAGAGGTGATGTGGAGAGCTACTATGAAATCGGCAGAACTATTGGGGATGGGAACTTTGCTGTTGTGAAGGAGTGCCGACGGTGCAACACAAACCAGATCTATGCCATGAAAATTGTTGACAAGTCCAAGCTGAAGGGGAAGGAGGATATGATGGAAAGTGAGATTTTGATCATTAAGAGCCTTTCTCATCCTAATATTGTGAGCTTGATTGAGGTGTATGAAACCGAGGCTGAGATCTATCTAATCTTGGAGTATGTTCCAGGAGGGGACCTATTTGATGCAATCATAGAGAGCGTAAAGTTCACTGAGCATGATGCAGCCCTCATGATAACAGATCTGTGCGAGGCGCTAGTTTACATTCATGCCAAGAACATTGTTCACAGAGACCTCAAACCTGAAAATCTTCTGGTAAGTGCTGGAACGTGTCACCTCTGTCCAGGTATTAGATTTTTCTTTCTGTTTTTTCTTTTTGTTTTGCTGGATATGTAAATATCACACTGTTGTGTTGTTAGCATTTTGGAAGAAAAAAGTACAAAGGTGAAGAGAGATCAGTCTCGTAGTGTGCCTGGCATAGTATAGGAAACCTTTTTAATACAAGTGCTGGAATTTATGTGGCCTCTGACTTACAGTCATGGTAAGCATTTGCATTTTATCCCCAAACACCTCTTATTTAGGTATTACTTTTAGGTATTCAAGCTTGATAATTTTTCATGAAGTGTATGCTGAATCATAAAGTATGTCACAAATGGACCAGAATTTATTTAGAAGGTCCATTCAGCATTTAAATGAGGTCTGTTTCTCTGTCTTTTATTTTTCTCTGTCCTGTGTATCAGTCCTATATGCTTAGGTTCTTAAATCTCTGGTGAAGAGGAGGGTTTGCAAAGTATCTTGGAATATATATACAGTTCAAACAACTGGAGTACGTCATTGGTCCTATGTAGCTCTATGTTGCATCTGTATACTTTAGAAACTCCTAACTTCACAAGAGGGAGCCGGGGTGCCACTTCCCTGATCAGTTGCATGGGATATTGATGACATTTAGCTGATTAGAGAAGTAATACCCTTTGAAGAAAAGCAGCTGAGTGGCTCTTTCTGAATTCAGCAACCTGTTGTCAATTAAACAGGTTGCAAACCACTTGGATATAAATGATCATGATTCTACTGTACTAAAGTTAGCTAAAACACTTAACCTCCTCCTGAAGAGCAAAATTCTGAGTTGGACCCTGAGGCCAGAAAATGGACTTTCTTACCTTTACACTGTTGGCACTGGATTTATGACCCAGATGCCCTGTTCCAGGCGGACCTAAATCCCCAGACTGACTGCAACCTTTCCATTCGATAATAAGCAAATGTATTGATACGTAGTGGTAACAGAAAAGAATAATACAAGCAGTTCTATAGCTACCAATCCTATGGCTGTCATCAGAGTCAAGGTACATCTGGCCAGGACGTGAGCTTCACTCTAAGGTTCTCTGTTGAATGTCATGTCAGCAGCCTGGAGGCTGGAGGCCGATGTGCATCCCCCAACCCCAGTGGGGTGGAGGAAACAGGCTGGTGGTATGCCCTCTGTCCATGTGCCTAGGGTTCCCCTCTCAGGGGAGCTCCTCTGAGGGATGGGGACAGGGGACCCTTTGTTGCTCTAAAGTCTCTGCATTTGTATTCTTTTTCCCCTCCTGATGACTCTTCATCCATGGTTATCATTGATTGGTCTCTCTGTGGTAGTCATACTGTCTACATTCTGTCTTGTCAGCATATTCCTTTGTTTCACAAACCCATCACATGCACACATCCTAATTTGGGCTTTCCAGGCCTTCTAATTTGGTCTGTTCCCTCAAAACTGGAACCTCAGGCCCCCACACTCTTGGGCCTTGTGAGTTGGTGCCAGTTTATCTCATGTTATGGAACAGTGTGGTCCATGTCCACAATTTCCCAGGCTATGTGTGTATCCATTGGCCTTGTTGCCTGCCTGGGTTAGATACCCTGTCTGCCTCAAAGGCTATAAGAACTGTGTGTATGACAACCAGTCCTTTAGAAATCAATTAACCCGTGCTGCTACCTACAAACCAATTTCTAAAAGCAAACCTCTAAATACCATTTTCTTGCCATCATACACATGTGAGCAGTCTCACTGAAGTCAATGGGAATATTCACAGGGTTAACTGTAAGCATGTACATTATGTAAGTATTTATAGGACTGGCTTCTTGGGTTATGCTGTGTACAAGGTGATAAAATTTGAGTAATTCCTTTGGGTGCCTATACATTTGCTTGGAAGTGGTGGTGGGGGGTGTGTGTTTTGATTAGAGTGAAACCCCTCCCCCCCACACTTGTCTGTTGGCTGCCAGGGGACTCCTTCCTTCTCAACTGGCCGCTGGGGGTACACCCTGCTGTTAGCAAAAGGACATAGTTAGAAAGAAAGGTTATAGCCAAGCCCATGGTACCTGCAAACCAAATCGCTAAAGGAATGTGCAATATGCATCCTCCTCATGAACTGCTAGGAAAATGTCCAGTGTGAATTACTGGGCAAAGGAGACAGCAGCTTGTAGAGCAGATTGAACAAGGATGGATATGGAGGAGTTGCAAAAACCCAGAAGGATGCGTCCACCTACTGAGCATTGTGGGGATTGTGCCTTGTGCATCATGTTCCATCTTAGGAGTGTGGGCGACTGGTGCCTCTTGAGTCGGGGGGGGGGGG